ATGGCCAAGAAGACCGCAATTGGCATCGACTCTTGGCAGTTTTGGCATTCATGTGAGTGCGCTTTGTCGATGGTAGTGAAGTTGTAGGTGTGCATTGCAGAGCTGCTGTGCTCCAACACCGTTCCGCTTGGCGTACGGGTGTTCGTAAAGGGGGTCTCAGGATCTTGGCACCACCTACAGCTGCGTCGGCGTTTGGAAGAACGATGGCGTCGAAATCATTGCCAATGATCAGGCACGGACATCACGGGATCGCCACGGCGTACTGGAGAAATGCATAGGATAAGCTCATTGCCAACGCTCAGGGAAATCGGACGACGCCGTCCTATGTAGCTTTCACGGACACCGAGCGCTTGATTGGCGATGCCGCGAAGAACCAGGTCGGGCAGGGTCTGGGGTTCATCTGCACGTCGCACACAGCATGCGCAGCACTACTCTCAGAGGAGCCACCGGCAGCTATAGGCTGCAAAACTGAGCTGGAAGCTATGCTTCGCCCGTAAACACAAGCACGGCGTGAGCGTCTCAAATCTTTGCCCATGCAGGTGGCGCGCAACCCGGAGAACACGGCCCCTGGTCTGCCGAAGCTCTATTTTCTTGGCGTTCGCTGTTTGAAGACTGGCTTCGATTGCAATAGGGCTGCCTTGGCATTGGGGCTTTGGTCTGCAGTGCGGCTAAGGTGTTCGATGCCAAGCGCCTGATTGGCCGCAAATTCGCAGATCCCATTGTGCAGTCCGACATCAAGCTGTGGCCCTTCAAGTGTGTTTCTGGTCAGGGTGACAAGCCCATGATCGTGGTCACAGTCGAGGGGGAGGAGATCTTAGTGGGGCTGACGGGCTGACTACCCCACCCCATCCCCAAAGCAAGAGCCATGGCCCATGCCTGTAGATCTCACGACTTGTCATGTTCGCGGGCGAAACGCATGTCTGGCAGCAGGGTTAGTGTATGCATCATACTGTCCGAAGGAGAAGAAGTTCCACCCGGAGGAAATTTCCTCCATGGTGCTCTTGAAGATGAAGGAGACTGCGGAGGCCTACCTCGGCACCAAGATCAACGATGCCGTGGTGACGGTGCCGGCGTACTTCAACGACTCGCAGCGGCAGGCCACCAAAGATGCAGGCGCTCCCCTCCTTCTAACAGTTAACAGTTAACACTCAATCTCATGTCTGTTCCACAATGTCCCCTTCGAGACTTCTATAGACTTCGCTCCATGGCAAAACGCTGACGCGACGACAGGCACCATCTCCGGCATGAACGTGCTGCGCATCATCAATGAGCCGCTCACCTCAAAAAAAGGTTCCAGATGAGTTGGAGTTGGGAGATGTGCACACCAAGTCCCAGTTACTGTAATCATGAATCATGTTGCTGTGATGTCTGGGAGAGACGAGGCCAACTGCGGCAGCCATTGCCTACGGCCTGGACAAGAAGGGCTCCGGCGAGAGGAACGTCCTCATCTATGACCCTTGGCTATAGTCCCTAGTACATGGCACGCGGACATCCAGGGAATCTGAAAGCGTTTCTAGCAGGAGCTGCTCAGCGAAAGGCATTGCCCTCACAGTAGCACGTTTGCATGCGTTTGCGTACCATGGCTGCCTGAGTCCCCCATAACAGATCCTTGAGCCCTTGCTTAAGCCGATGGGCTTTAGATTGGTGCTTTCATGAACAGGACATGGGCGGCGGCACCTTCGATGTCTCGCTCCTGACCATCGAAGACGGGATTTTCGAGGTGAAGGCCCGCTTCTTGCTGAAAAGCTGTTGCTCCTCTTCAGTTCGATATTGGGAGAGGCTTTTGTTGCGCGTTGCACGTTTAGCAGGTGAGGGTGGTAAGGGCAAGCCCTCGAATCAGAAACTCATCTGTAATCGTTCTTTCCAGAGAGAGACGTCGTTTTGCTGGTGTTACGCATTGCAGTTGCGCTTATAGAATTCCGGATGAGTGTTTGCGGACATGCAGAGGCAACCGCCGGCGACACCCATCTCGGTGGCGAGGACTTCGACAATCGCATTGTGGACTTCTGCATCCAGGACTTCAAGCAACTTGTCCGAGAAGTCACTGTGTAAGATGCAGCAGCAGCTTGGACAGGGTGTTGCTATACATGTTGGTGCCATCCGAGGCGCAAGAATCGCGGCAAGGACCTGGCGGGCAACCAGCGGGCCTTGCGCCGTTTGCGAACCCAGTGCGAGCGTGCCAAGCGAACATTGTCTTCCTCTACCCAGGCCACCATCGAGATCGACTCCCTTTACGAGGGCATTGACTACTCCTGCTCACTGTCCCGTGCCCGCTTCGAGGAGCTGTGCATGGATTACTTCCGCAACTCCATGGGCCCAGTGGAGAAGTGCCTGAGGGACTCTGGCATCGACAAGAAGGCCGTGCACGACGTGGTGCTGGTCGGCGGCTCCACGCGCATTCCCAAGGTGCAGGCCATGATCCAAGAGTTCTTCAACGGCAAGGAGCCCAACAGGTCCATCAACCCTGATGAGGCGGTGGCCTACGGTGCCGCGGTGCAGGCTGCCATCCTGACGGGCGAGGGTTCGTCCCAGGTGCAGGACCTCCTGCTCCTGGATGTGACGCCCTTGTCCATGGGTCTGGAAACTGCGGGTGGCGTGATGACCAAGTTGATCGAGCGCAACACGACCATTCCCACCAAGAAGGCCTTGGGAACGGAACGTCGCGTAATCGGAAGGAAAAAACGGGTTAAGGTCTCGTGAGACACCTCCTTGCATCCGCAAATCACCAATTGGACCCTACAGCCACCCCCATGCCCCACGCGTTTTGTGCCCTTACAAAACATGACAAGCCCCTGGCGAAAATTCGACGAGGGCCAGACCTTCACCACCTACGCTGACAACCAGCCGGGTGTGTTGATCCAGGTCTTCGAGGGCGAGCGCGCCATGACCAAAGACAACAACCTGCTGGGTAAGTTCCACCTGGATGGCATCCCGCCAGCCCCGCGCGGTGTGCCCCAGATCGAGGTGACCTTCGACATCGACGCCAACGGCATTCTGAATGTAAACGCCTCGGACAAGTCCACGGGAAAGTCCAACCAGATTACCATCACCAACGATGTTTGGCCAAAACCCGGCAAGTTTGTTTTGAGGTTCTTGAGGTCGTTCCCAGCTATCTGGGTTGCCAAGAGCGGGAACACTAAAATGCAAAATCGCCTAGGAGAAGGGCCGCCTGTCGCAGTCCGAGATCGACCGCATGGTGCAAGAAGCAGAAGCTTGGGGTGTTGGGAGTTATTGCTGCTTCATTTGGGGTTGTATATGCCCTGAAGATCCCTGAAGTTAGTTTACGGCACCTTACAGTTTTCTACAGTCAGGGGACCCCGACCACACCCCAGGAGAAGTTCCGTGCCGAAGATGAGGCTAACAAGCTCAAGATCGAGGCCAAGAACGGCTTGGAGAACTACTGCTTCACCATGCGCAACACCTTGAACGAGGAGAAGCTGAAGGACAAGTTCGAGGGCGGCGACAAGGAGAAGATCGAGTCGGCCGTTCAGGAGACCCTTGACTGGCTGGACAAGAACCAGCTGGCAGAGAAGGACGAGTTCGAGGCTAAGCAGAAGGAGCTCGAGGGCGTCGTGAACCCAATCATGATGAAGGTCTACCAGGCGGCAGGTGGCGGTGGCATGCCCGAGGGCGGCATGCCCGGTGGTGGCATGGGCGGCGCCGCCCCCGGCGGCGCCGGCGGCCCGACCGTTGAGGAGGTTGACTAGGCCTGAGGCCGTCGTGTGCAGCAGGCGCTTCTGCAAACTGCGTTGCTCCCAGCCTGCGAAGCAAGCAGCCTGCAAGGCACCCCTCCAGAGACCACAGAATTTGCAAGCCGGTGCTGTACAGCACATGCCGGACAAAAGACGAAAGACTTTCGTTATGTTTTGTTCGTGGTCATTCATCGTCGCTAGTTGCTTTGAGCAGCACCATACCATGTGGGTGAACATGTGTGCTCCGCAGCCCTCAGTTTTGCAGTGCAGCCCAACTTGTGCTGATCCAATCTTTTCCTTTCGTCCTTAGACATGGCCAAGAAGACCGCAATTGGAATCGACTCTTGGCAGTCTTGGCATTCGTGCGAGTGCGCTTTGTCGATGGTAGTGAAATGGTAGGTGTGCATTGCAGAGCTGCTGTGCTCCAACACCGTTCCGCTTGGCGCGCGGGTGTTCGTAAAGGGGGCCTCAGGATCTTGGCACCACCTACAGCTGCGTCGGCGTTTGGAAGAACGACGGCGTCGAAATCATTGCCAATGATCAGGCACGGACATCACGGGGATCGCCATGGCGTACTGGAGAAATGCATATAGGGTAAGCTCATTGCCAACGCTCAGGGAAATCGGACGACGCCGTCCTATGTAGCTTTCACGGACACCGAGCGCTTGATTGGCGATGCCGCGAAGAACCAGGTCGGGCAGGGCCTGGGGTTCATCTGCACGTCGCACACAGCATGCGCAGCATGACTCTCAGAGGAGCCACCTGTAGCTATAGGCTGCAAAGCTGAGCTCGAAGCTATGCTCCGCACGTAAAGACCAGCACCATCCTGTCAGCCTTGTGGCACGGCTTGCACCTCTCATTGTCAATATTGTCAAGCATGGGGCAGGTGGCGCGCAACCCGGAGAACACGGCCCCCTGGTCTGCCGAAGCTCTATTTTCTTGGCGTTTGCAATAGGGTTGCATTGGCATTGGGGCTTTGGTCTGCAGTGCGGCTAAGGTGTTCGATGCCAAGCGCCTGATTGGCCGCAAATTCGCAGATCCCATTGTGCAGTCCGACATCAAGCTGTGGCCCTTCAAGTGTGTTTCTGGTCAGGGTGACAAGCCCATGATCGTGGTCACAGTTGAGGGGGAGGAGATCTTAGTGGGGCTGACGGGCTGACTACCCCACCCCATCCCCAAAGCAAGAGCCATGGCCCATGCCTGTAGATCTCACGACTTGTCATGTTCGCGGGCGAAACGCATGTCTGGCAGCAGGGTTAGTGTATGCATCATACTGTCCGAAGGAGAAGAAGTTCCACCCGGAGGAAATTTCCTCCATGGTGCTCTTGAAGATGAAGGAGACTGCGGAGGCCTACCTCGGCACCAAGATCAACGATGCCGTGGTGACGGTGCCGGCGTACTTCAACGACTCGCAGCGGCAGGCCACCAAAGATGCAGGCGCTCCCCTCCTTCTAACAGTTAACAGTTAACACTCAATCTCATGTCTGTTCCACAATGTCCCCTTCGAGACTTCTATAGACTTCGCTCCATGGCAAAACGCTGACGCGACGACAGGCACCATCTCCGGCATGAACGTGCTGCGCATCATCAATGAGCCGCTCACCTCAAAAAAAGGTTCCAGATGAGTTGGAGTTGGGAGATGTGCACACCAAGTCCCAGTTACTGTAATCATGAATCATGTTGCTGTGATGTCTGGGAGAGACGAGGCCAACTGCGGCAGCCATTGCCTACGGCCTGGACAAGAAGGGCTCCGGCGAGAGGAACGTCCTCATCTATGACGCTGGGCTATAGTCCCTAGTACATGGCACGCGGACATCCAGGGAATCTAGGGAATCTGGAAGCTTTTCTAGCAGAACCTGCTCAACGTTGTCACAGTAGCGAGTTTGCATGCGTTTGCGTACCATGGCTGCGATTGAGCCCTTGCTTAAGCCGATAGGCGTTAGATTGGTGCTTTCATGAACAGGACATGGGCGGCGGCACCTTCGATGTCTCGCTCCTGACCATCGAAGACGGGATTTTCGAGGTGAAGGCCCGCTTCTTGCTGCAAAGCTGTTGCTCCTCTTCAGTCCGATATTGGGAGAGGTATTGGTTTTTGTTGCGCAACCTCCGGCCGCGTTGCACGTTTAGTAGGTGAGGGTGGTAAGGGCAAGCCCTCGAATCAGAAACTCATCTGTAATCGTTCTTTCCAGAGAGAGACGTCGTTTTGCTGGTGTTACGCATTGCAGTTGCGCTTATAGAATTCCGGATGAGTGTTTGCGGACATGCAGAGGCAACCGCCGGCGACACCCATCTCGGTGGCGAGGACTTCGACAATCGCATTGTGGACTTCTGCATCCAGGACTTCAAGCAACTTGTCCGAGAAGTCACTGTGTAAGATGCAGCAGCAGCTTGGACAGGGTGTTGCTATACATGTTGGTGCCATCCGAGGCGCAAGAATCGCGGCAAGGACCTGGCGGGCAACCAGCGGGCCTTGCGCCGTTTGCGAACCCAGTGCGAGCGTGCCAAGCGAACATTGTCTTCCTCTACCCAGGCCACCATCGAGATCGACTCCCTTTACGAGGGCATTGACTACTCCTGCTCACTGTCCCGTGCCCGCTTCGAGGAGCTGTGCATGGATTACTTCCGCAACTCCATGGGCCCAGTGGAGAAGTGCCTGAGGGACTCTGGCATCGACAAGAAGGCCGTGCACGACGTGGTGCTGGTCGGCGGCTCCACGCGCATTCCCAAGGTGCAGGCCATGATCCAAGAGTTCTTCAACGGCAAGGAGCCCAACAGGTCCATCAACCCTGATGAGGCGGTGGCCTACGGTGCCGCGGTGCAGGCTGCCATCCTGACGGGCGAGGGTTCGTCCCAGGTGCAGGACCTCCTGCTCCTGGATGTGACGCCCTTGTCCATGGGTCTGGAAACTGCGGGTGGCGTGATGACCAAGTTGATCGAGCGCAACACGACCATTCCCACCAAGAAGGCCTTGGGAACGGAACGTCGCGTAATCGGAAGGAAAAACCGATTAAGTGTTAAGTACTGGTGAGACACCTCCTTGCATCCGCACATCACCAATTGGACCCTACCGCCACCCCCATGCCCCAAGCGTTTTGCACCCTTACAAAACATGAGAAGCCCCTGACGAAAATGCGACGAGGGCCAGACCTTCACCACCTACGCTGACAACCAGCCGGGTGTGTTGATCCAGGTCTTCGAGGGCGAGCGCGCCATGACCAAAGACAACAACCTGCTGGGTAAGTTCCACCTCGATGGCATCCCGCCAGCCCCGCGCGGTGTGCCCCAGATCGAGGTGACCTTCGACATCGACGCCAACGGCATTCTGAATGTAAACGCCTCGGACAAGTCCACGGGAAAGTCCAACCAGATTACCATCACCAACGATGTTTGGCCAAAACCCGGCAAAGTTGTTTTGAGGTTCTTGAGGTCGTTCCCAGCTATCTGGGTTGCCAAGCGCGGGAACACTAAAATGCAAAATCGCCTAGGAGAAGGGCCGCCTGTCGCAGTCCGAGATCGACCGCATGGTGCAAGAAGCAGAAGCTTGGGGTGTTGGGAGTTATTGCTGCTTCATTTGGGGTTGTATATGCCCTGAACGGCACCTTACAGTTTTCTACAGTCAGGGGGCCCCGACCACACCCGAGGAGAAGTTCCGTGCCGAAGATGAGGCTAACAAGCTCAAGATCGAGGCCAAGAACGGCTTGGAGAACTACTGCTTCACCATGCGCAACACCTTGAACGAGGAGAAGCTGAAGGACAAGTTCGAGGGCGGCGACAAGGAGAAGATCGAGTCGGCCGTTCAGGAGACCCTTGACTGGCTGGACAAGAACCAGCTGGCAGAGAAGGACGAGTTCGAGGCTAAGCAGAAGGAGCTCGAGGGCGTCGTGAACCCAATCATGATGAAGGTCTACCAGGCGGCAGGTGGCGGTGGCATGCCCGAGGGCGGCATGCCCGGTGGTGGCATGGGCGGCGCCCCCCCCGGCGGCGCCGGCGGCCCGACCGTTGAGGAGGTTGACTAGGCCTGAGGCCGTCGTGTGCAGCAGGCGCTTCTGCAAACTGCGTTGCTGCCAGCCTGCGAAGCAAGCAGCCTGCAAGGCACCCCTCCAGAGACCACAGAATTTGCAAGCCGGTGCTGTACAGCACATGCCGGGAAAAGAATGTTGTTCATGGTCTTTCTGCAGCGGTCAGGAGCAGGAGGTGTTGCGACCTCACCTTTAACGTTTGTCTTGGAGGGTTTGATGTTTCGTTGGGACATCTTAGCCCATCAGGGAGGCAGGTAAAGCTATTTGGCTTGTAGGAGAAAGCACCCTTGCGATGAAGGAAAGAAATGTCCATTCCACTGTCCAACGGGATACATCACTAAGTATCAGGCCGCCCCGCCGAAGCACACGGTTCGCCTAATAATCAAAGCAAAACGCCACTATGCAAGACGCCGAATTCTTCGGAGATCTCTCGGGGAGCTGCGAGGGTACCGTGTAGAAGGCCCTACACCAGGAAACCTCTGCTCAACTCCGCAACCCCCCCCCCCCCCCCCAGCACGGCTACAAAATCAAATCTCGCCATCTTTGCTTGAACCAGGCTTTAGGCTTTAGGCTTCGAGGGTCGCTGGGCGAGTTCGCAGGAATCACAAACCCTTAAACCTTAAACCCTAAACCCTAAACCCTCCTGAATCTCAGCTAGGGTTCCAGGGCCCACGTAGCAAAGGCCCCCAGGCAGCAAACCGCACACACACACACACACAAACAGAGACAGTCTTGCCGCAATGCTTACTGGAAGGCCCTGAGATGAAACAAGTCTCTAGACCTGTGTGGTGTTTGGGAGGTTCCCCTAAAACCTAAACCCTAAACCCTACACCCTAAACCCTAAACCCTAAACCCTAAAGGTCTGCGCTTCCATGAATGTCTCGCAGCTCTTCGATCTTTCCGCTGCCCCTGCAGCGGCTCGGCTGCGATGACGGGGACGAGTTTTGCCTCGGTCCAGGATGGCTTTTAGGGTTTAGGGTTTAGGGTTTAGGGTTTGGTATATGGGGCCCCTTATCAACCCAAATTAAGGAAAATTGTTGAAATAACCAAGCGACAAAAAAGCACCCAGCTTCTGGACATGGCCAGCTTCCCCCGAGCCTGGAAACACCCGACGCTTACATCGCGGCGCGGCGAAGCTACAATGCGACCCTTCAGAAGTTGAGAAGCCTTATCAACCCCTAGCCCGATACTCTCACAGGAACAGCAACTGCCAACTTCTCCCTTTTTTTGGCATGCAGCCGCGCTCGGAGAGCTTAACTAATGACAGCGTTTCCCTACCAACTTCTCCCTTTATCCCAAAACCCTGCTCGGAGCTCCTCACAGCTAGACACCCCGAGCTGGGAGACATCACCCCTTGAAAAAAAACCGAAAGGCTGATTATGGGGATTAGAGGGCCTAAATTATACCCGAACATTTTCTACTTTTCAACAGGGTTTAAGAGCCGCCCCACCCAGTCACACGGTGGGGCAGAGACCCTCCACGCAGACCCAGGGTTCAAGGGCTGTTTCTTTTGTCTACTCTACCGTCTTGCAACATAGCGTAGGATCATGAATAATTCTATACATATATATATACATATATATATATACATATATATATATACATAGATATACACATATAGATACATATTATATATATATATATTTATAGACATATATATATATACAACATGTATATATTTATAGATATAAGTTTAAGTATACGTACATGATTGTAAGTTCTTATCCGACATAGAATTCGAAGCCCCTGCGGCCGAGGTGGCGCTTGCAGTCTGCGGCGCCTACGCTTTGACCTTCGCCGGGGTTTCAGAGCTGCCAGGGCTCTGTGGGTCCCTAAACCCTAAACCCTAAACCCTAAACCCTAAACCCTAAACCCTAAACCCTAGGGGGAGGTAGGGAATGCAGTCACTTGGGTTTAGGGTTTGGGGTTCGGGGTGGGTTTTGGCCTTGACTCCAAATGACTCCACACTCTAAGGGAGGTTACCTGGTCCCTAAACCCTAAACCCTACGGTCCCTTGCCTTCTTCCCCCTGGTTCTTAGTAGGGAATGAGGGAATGAGGGTCCTACATAATCCCTTAAACGGTATGTATAAGCCCCTAACTCCCCCATTCCCTACTAAGAACCAGGGGGTCTTTAAACGGTTCTGAAGTATGGGAGAGAAGGGTTCCCCCATCCAGGGCCAACATTGAGGGACCATGAAACTACCCTGGGGGATGGGAGTCAGTCACGTGGAGCCCGGGTGACGATGGAAGACTTTGATGAGGCTGACGCCTAGAGGTATCCAGGCCTAAACCCTAAACCCTAAACCCTACACCCCAAACCCTAAACTTCATGGGGGTCTGCATTGGTCTAACTTGCTGCAGCTGCAGTTAGCTCGTATAGCTTCCTGGTTTACAAAACGCCTTAGCGAGTCCCTCAAGGCTTCTTGAGCATCTGCTCGGCATTTCTCTTGGCAAGATCGTGGTGTGTGTTGCAGTCATCTATATCTGTAGATGGGCGTTTCCAAAAGTAGGGGTACCCCTAACATACCCCAAATAGTATCATCCTTATTATTGGAACCCACCCGCCCAAAAGGGTACCCCCTATGTTTGCAAAGCCCCAGATACTTTTCAGAGTACAAATCAAATACCCCTAATGTACCCTCAACCCTAAAGATACTTTTTCAGAGTAGAAAGCACATATACCCTAAACCCTAGAGATACTTTTTTTCAGAGTAGAAAGCGACTACCTAGGGGTCATTGATCATACGTTCAAGAGTCGCGGCTTTGCTCAGGTCCCTGCCAAGGTCCTCACCAAAATCAACGCCACCGCCTCAGCTTACCCTAAACCCTGAAAACTGAACCCTGAACCCTGAACCCTAAACCCTAAACCCGAAACCCTAAACCCTAAACCCTAAACCCTAAACCCTAAACCCTAAACCCTGAACCCTAAACCCTAACCCTAAACTCTAAACCCTACCATTGAACGCCTTGCCCTTCAGAGGCTGAGATGTCAAAGGGATGCCGGCAGGGTGTACGGGTTTAGGGATTGGGGTGCTCGGCCCCTCCATATTGCGCAACAAAACGCGCCTTACTTTCAGAACTGCAGGTTTGCCACTGCGGCTGTGGGCCTAAAAGCCCCAAAGGCCCAAATCGCACAATGCTGAGGGGGCACCATGGGGAGCAACCTTCGCACATATCTCTCTCTCTCTCTCTCCCTCTGTCCCTCGTCTCTCCCTCCGTCTCTTCTTCTGCTTCCGTCCACAGAGAGATTTGCTGGAAAGCAGACAGGGCCCGGACCCGAGACACGCGAGCCACCCCCCCCAAACACCCCCAAACACCCCCAAACACCCCTAAATTAAACACCCCTACACACCCTAAACCCTAAACTTGAGGGTGCTTGGACTCCCTCGGACTCTACCTTAAGAACCCCAAAACCTACTTTTTTGTAGGTTGCCTAAGAATTTTGTAAGAGGGTTTAGAAGAAGAACCTACAAAAACGTAGGTTTTGGGGGTTCTTGAGGCACCAGGCTTTGGCAGCTTCTTTTCAGGAACCCGGCTCCGAGAAGGAGTGTTCCCCTTGCCTGAGGTGATGTCGAATCTCGTGTTTATTGCTAGCACATTTATGCCGGGGGCCCCAGGAAGGGTCGGGAACTAGGGTTTAGGGTTTAGGGGTTTAGGGTTTAGGGGGTTTGGGGTTTGGGGTTTGGGGTTTAGGGTGGCTGTCCAGCAAGGACATGTAGAAATCAGTGAGGTCTGGACTCAGGTGACTGGTGGTCCCTGCCGGTTCTTTTAGCTTCCTGGGACTTTTTTCGTCCTCCAAGGGCAGAGTTGATCCGACATGTCATGCCCACTTTCAAGCAACCGATGGCGGAGTAGGAGGGCGCACTTACCCTAAACCCTAAACCCTAAACCCTAAAACCCTAAAACCCTAAAACCCTCAAACCCTAAAACCCTAAAACCCCCTCAGACCTTGGCTGCAGGGGAAGCACTCGAACTCAAGGGATGAAGGCTCGTACCCCTAAGCTTGTACCCCCGAAGGTTCTCCTTGTTATACTGCGAGTATGGCCCTTAAAAGAGTCCCCAAAAACCCAAGGGTACAACCTTAAGGGTCCAAGGTAGAACCCCTAGACAAACAAAGCTTCGCAGGAATCTGTAGCCATCCACAGCCTTTGTTCCGTCTCTTGCACAACCGAGGTTCATAGTGACTGGCCTGATGCTGCCACAGAAGGCCGTGCCGCCGCTAGTTGCTAGTTGGAAGAATTGGGGGTTTCCGAAATTAGCTCGCGCTGCGCAGCTTGATCGCGTGACGGCTCTGTTTCAACAGGAGTGAGGCGGCGATCCAAGGAAATGGGGTGTAGGGTTTGGGGGTTTTAAGGTTTAGGGTTTAGGCTTAAGGGTTTTAGGGTTTAGGGTTTTAGGGTTAGGGTTTTAGGGTTTCGGGTGTTTTTCTCCACTCTTTCGCCCACATTGTCCGTCTCGGCGCTCCCAAGCACTGGAGGCACCTCCCTCGGAGGTCGAAGTGGTGCGACCGCCAGGGACTTAGACTTTGGCACCAATCCTCTGGGCACCGGTCTTCATGGATCTCACTGCGCCCGGCTTAGGGTTTAGGGTTTAGGGTTAGGGTTTAGGGTTTAGGGTTTAGGGTTTAGGGTTTAGGGTTTAGGGTTTAGGGTTTAGGGTTTAGGGTTTAGGGTTTAGGGTTTAAAGAGAGAGGGAGAGGCCGACAAAGCAGCCCTCCCCCAGTTCACCCTCCCACGGTTCAAACACTAAGCTGGTTCACCCTCCCACGGTTCAAACACTAAGCTGCAGTGTTCGGGGATTTGTGCTCTGTCATGAGGGGAAGGGGTTGTCTCAGCATCATGGAATATCAGGGCTCCTTTCCCGACAGCTGCGCATAGTTCCCTAGAAACGTGTATCTACTCTTCACCCTCACAGGGTTCCCCAACAGGATCCCTCCAGAGTTGATCAGAGGAGATCGGAGGCTCCAAGTAAGGTCGATGTCGATGGACTCAGCTTC